AAGGCATTGGAGAGCTTGGCATCGATGGATTGGAATCTCACATCGGGTGCTTTGGCAAGAGCCTCCAAGTCCGGTTGGTCCGCAAGACACGGAGCTAGCCATGCTTTCCAATCTTCATAGTTTCGATCTCCACTTGCAACACAAACTTCATGAACGACACTTCCCTTCCAGGATGAAAGTTCAGTGGTCTTGGGCCAAGGTTGGAGATTGATCTTTTCGGCTTCCCTTAGGGATACGGAAGACTTTGATCTATCCTTCTCAAGGTTCTCCAACTCTTTGACGTTGGTGTTGTACTCGTTCCTGAGCTTTTCGAAGGCTTCAGCTTCTGCTCGATATTCCTGCTCTTCATCGTTGGCACGATCTTCAGCTTGAGAGAAGTTGTTCTTGTAGTAATCTTTCCGATCTTCCATCTTCCTTAAGTCATCTTGAAGACTTCGAACTTCAGCGTTCCTCTCTTGCTTCATCTCGTCCAATTCTGCTTTCAATTTGGCACACTTCTCTTCACATTCATTTCGAGGCATGGCATTACTGGGGTACACAAGTAACGTAGCCTGTCTGTTCAGTGATGAGGAAGAAGCAGCTTGGTTTTCAAGCTTCAGGGCAGCGATGGTGCTCGACATCTCTTCTACTTCGGCGAAACGTTCATTAGCCAATTGATGCATCTCCGTCAAGTGGCTCTCAGGAATGGAATAGTCAGTTGCTCCTTTGATCACGAGTCTTCTATCGTTCAACATCTTGATGGATCGACCTGCATCCCTGTGAGCACGTTCAAGAGAATCTTTTTGGGTTTCGATCTCAGTATGAAGGCGAGCAATAGCTGTATCCCCGTCATTGATTTCATTGCACAAATCATCGAACAAGTTACTCGTCACATTCGGATTGTTACTCATGTGATCGATTTTGTCCAGAGCATCTTGGTATTTCTTACCAGTTTCATTGAAATGTTTCTGGAATGTCTTGAGCAGGTGTTCGGTCTCAATGAGTTCAGCCCTGTTTTGTAGGTACATCTTGTCAACTTCAGCCTTGGATTCCTTCAGGCTGTCACGTTCACGTACAGCTTGCATGTACATCTCATGATGTAATCCTCCATGCGGTGATCTGCTTGGCGAGGATCTTCTGGCTTGTTGACAGGAAAGTTCATGATACTGATTCTTCGATTCAGTCAGTTGATGTTGCATTCGATCTAATAGGTTTTGTTTCATGTGTAGTTCCGAACGTAGTCCCATTATCCTCATGTCCCGCATGCCACTTGATTCAGCTAGAGATTCTTCAGAAGCCTTGCTCTCAGAAGTCACTAGTCGAGATTGTAAGTTTTCATTGTGAACCACCTGCAATCGAAGTTGTGATTCCTCCAAAGCTAAATGATGTTCACATTCTGCATAACGGTCATGTTCAGATCTTATGTTACTACGGAACTCCTTCATGATCTCGTCCCTCTTCATGTCAGCAGCATCGAGCTCGGTTTCCAGTCGTCTGACGTTCATAGACATGGTGTGCTTCATCGTCTGGTTCTGATTGGCAACCTCGAGCATCTCGATCTGTAAAGCACATGTCTGGTCGTTGGCATAGCCGACTGCCAGAGCTTCTTGCTTTGCGTTCATCTCTGCGTTTTCTAGTTCCAGTCTGAGTTGATTGATGTGAGCATTCGCATCAGCGCCCACATGCACCATAATTGCATTCGCCTGTCCCATTTGTTCATTGAATTCCGAACGTAGTTGTGAATATCTAAATTCCAAATGGGATGCTGCTTCATTTGACATGGTCTGATACCTTTCCAACTCTTCGATCCTGTAGGTTGCGCCTTCGTCTTCTTGTTGTGCAGCCTGTAACTCAAAGTTCAGCATCTGGAGTTGTTCGGTCATCGACATCATCTCTTGATGAGTGGTGCTTTCCAGGAAATTAAATTGTTGATAGGCATATGCAGCCGTCTCAGTCAATCTTGCCTGAAGTACGGATTCGTCTTCAGTAGCCTTTTCCAGTGATGTCTTATATTCAGCTAGTTCGCTCTGATAGGCAGTGAAGATGTCGCTACCACTTGATGGGGCGTTCACTCGTTGATAAGATCCCGTCCCTGATGGAGTAGCGTCTTGAATCGGTGAAGGCGGATTCGACGATGTAGGCTTTGCCTTAGTCCTTGGAGTCATCGGAGGCGACGATTGTCGTGCAGATGATCTTCTCTTTCCAGGTGTACTGTCCCTATCTTCAATTGCTTGCATTGTCGAAATTTGTCTCCCTCTAGGGGCAACCAGAGGTCGTCTGGGTAGGCTTGGTCTCAGTTCTGAGGTTTCGCTTCCACCAGTGTCGATACTCTGTGAAGAATTTGACTGCGTGCCGGCAGCTGGTGCAACGGCATGTCCAGAGAAAGAAAATGCGTTATCGCTGCTATCCTGTTCAGTCATTTGTAAGGTCCGCGGCTACCCGCTCGTAGGCTCCGTAGGAGTCCTACGGCTGATAACCTGTGAATCGGAGGTTCTTTCTCCAATATGTTCCTTTAATGTAG